ATGTCTTGTGTCTTATTGAACCTTTCCTATTATCTGGCTTAGACCATGTTTATCCGTTGAATATTTTGTAATTTGTGGACAATTATCAATACCAATATTGTAAAATAAATGATTTACCTGATTTATGGATTAAGCGTTATTTAGTTTGAAAATTTCTTTCATTTTAAGTTTAAAAACTATTGAAATTATGTGATCATATGAAATATATGTTGTAAACTCACTGAATCCACCCAACCATCCATCAACCGCAATCACCCAACCCACCCACATGTAATGCTTGGGTGGGTGTGGGTCATTATCTCCTTCACCCACCACTTAGTTGGTGGTTTCAAACCCACCCAAATCCGCATAAAACCACCCACTTTTCACCCCTACCGCATACAATTGCATGAATAAAAAATCAGGTATAGGCATGTAGCATATCTACATTATTAATAATACAATTTAAAGGGTTGGTTTGCTCTTCACAATTATTTATTTACTTCATACAAATGAAAATATCAACACCAAAATTCGAACCATGATCTTTTTAGATTTTATACAAAGATAAGAATCATAACTAGTTGCACTAAACAAATATTTTGTATCTTTTGTACTGCAAAACATACACGAAGCTAAAAAAAATCTAAAAAGCAGAAGACTTTTGCATAACGGTTAGCTAGCACGTAAGTATTTTTATGGTGCTTGACTCCTTGGTTTTTTATATTTTGATTATTTTAAATGGATTTTAATAAGTAGTTTAGAATTTTTCTAACTTGTTAATGAAAGATAATCTTAAAAATGCAACACAAATATCATTGGTTGGAGTATTGCATATCGAGTTGGTGTATTGAATATGCAGAAGCGATGTAAACAAATATCATTTGTTGAAATATTGCAGTATTGAATATGCATAAGCGATATAAAATTCTTTCCATGAATTGAAGATCTTATTGATACACTAAAATCTTATCATGGTTGAGCATCATGACAGAAAATAACATTTCAGTTTACGAGCATTGTCAACAAAAGAATTTACCAAAATTTTCATCACAATTTTTCATTACTCATACTTGAGTTATGCAGACATGAAATGAAAACTCCACTTAAGAATGAATTTCTTGATGTATCTAAAATAGTCTGACGCTCCGAAAATCAAGTTGATTCTAAAAATATAGAAATTCACCAATTCATTTATCCAACATGACAGCGAAATCAAGCTTCGAGCGATCTTATTGTTTGAAATCTCAATGTAAATCTTTTCGGGTTCTAGTTTGTAAGGTTCATGTTAATTCCAAAATTGAAAAGTTTTTTCAATGGTATTGAGATTCAATTGGAAGAAGTAAAGAGCTCATATATGCCATTAATGAATATCATTTAGACATTTTACTATTATGAGTGGGGTACTTAGGTCATTTTGATTTGATTTTAGAATGATGATACTTAATCATAGTTTAATAAGCAAGGTAAGAGCTACTTTAATGGCAATTCACAAAAAAATATCTAAAGCCGATGGTTTGGTTGAAAAAACACACTAATATTACTTCTCTAATTTTGGTACTTAATTTAGTTGTATAAATTCCTCTAGAGTTGTCTGAGACCGACTACTATATTTACATGTGCCCAACTCAATTCCTGCTTTCATCCACTACTACTTTGCTAAGAAAGAGTCTATCCAATATTCCAATTACTGCAACAATTACATATGTTTTTTTTTAAATATTAACAACAATTACATGTGGATGGAAAACATAGACTATCATGTTCTTGAGCGTGTTGTTCCCCTTTTTGCATGTCTTTGATTTTGAAATTGTATACGAGGAAAGACTTTACGATGCTTCAGACGAGATGCAATACTACCAATACCATTAAGCCTTTTGTCTTCAACTCGATCTTCATTCCATTTGAATAAATTTATTTTATTGTGCATTATAAATTTGGGATTTTTAAAATAAATTCTGTTTCTCGATTAAAATTGTGATAAAAGTGACGGAGATGCACACCTAATATCCCCACCAAAACATTGAAAAAGTTAAAAAAAAACAAAGGACAAAAAGGTGGTAAGACCCAATTTTAATCTAACCAGTCATTGATATTCAAAAAATGCTTATGTTTTTTTCTAATATTTAGGTCAATGCATACTTCATCCAATGCAGAGTTGTCAAAATATGAAATGAGGCTGCGATTTTGATGCATAACATATTCAACCAATGCAGAGTTGTATTATAAATTTGGAGTGCCAAAAATAAATTATGATTTCATAGTAATTAATTTTGCGAAAAAAGTGACAGAGATGCACTACCTTCATTGATGAGAGTCAAAAATTAAACCCGACCATCAATCTCCACCAAAATATTGATAGAGATAAATCAATTGAAAATAAAGGTTTGCGATGTGGTAAAACTCAGTTTCGTTAATATTTAATAGCTAACGGTATCTCTAATATTTAGGGCAACGTATATCCATCCAAAATTGTCAAAATAAGGAATGTTGTTGCAATTTCGATACATAACCTTCTTTGTTCCCCTCGACAATTCTAACTAAAGCACGAAACCAATCTCTCACAAATTTTTTATGAACTATATTTCCTTTTTCTAATCTGATTAATTGAAATCTATCAACGAAAAAGTTTACAAATGCTATGAGGAGTATTTTGTGAGAATTTGTAACAACATAAAAAACAACACCCACTAGGTAACATTATCTTACTCTCCCATTGTTTTTTACTTCAAATTCATTCGAGAAAATAACATCGTACCCACTAAAATATATGGTTTTGGAATAAATATTGTACCCCATTGCTATCAGTTTATAAATTCAGGTTCAGTTCCGAATTATGTGGACAATTGGAAATATTGAATTTGTGCTTAGTGTTTGGTGTACTTGGTGATGGAGATAATAACGATTTTAGAAAAAGAAAAAGTTTTTGATGATGAAGACATAAGTTTCAATGAAATTATAATGTTAATGGCTTGGATAAGATAAAATTTACTAAGGGAAAATTATATTAATTTTATTTTTTTTTATACTTAAATAATTTGAACTTTTTTCTAATACCAAATAAAACGTTCTTTTCATCCAGTAATAGTTATTATTATTATTATGCAATTAATGAAATGTATTCGACCAACGGCCGGACTCAAATCTAGTCATAAAACGAGGTTGATTCTCAATTCTCTTCATAATTTATTCCAATCTCTCCATACTATCCCGATAGTATACACTTTCCGAATGAAACTTCACAATTTCAAATTTTCTTAATCCACCAACATTCACGTCAGCTTTGATTTTCCACTTCCTTTTTTTGTTTTAATTTTTTTTTTCTAGACTTAACCCTTGTTAAAAATAAATCAACATATAAATTATCATTACTATGATTCAAACACACAACCTCATGATATTAATTTTGAAACTTATAAGATAAACTTCATTAATTATATTTATTATTATAACAAGACGGAGACCATCATATCATCATACATGTATAATATGTTACATATGATTTGTTCGTGATAGTTTCAATCCCTCTATGGAACTGATATCGAGTCAAAAGTTAGATGAATTTAAAATGGATCTTGTGACATAAACATAAATTATATGATTACAAATAAATTACATAAACCCAAACCATCAACTAATTCAAAAACAGTTTAATTATGATTTCAAATAATTAATAATAGTAAAAATAATCCAGTCAATGGCCGGGAACAAAACTAACTATGCATGTGATATTTATATAATAATTTGATTCCAAATATCAGGTTCGACAAATAGGGTTGCAAATGAGTCGAGTCGAGTTTTTGCTTAGTTTGAGCTCGACTTGTTTGTAAATTTTTCAGCTCGAGCTTGGATCGAACTCGAATTTTGAGAATCCAACTCGAGCTCATACCCGACTTGAATAAAAATAAACTAGCTCGACTCGGTAGATCTCAGCATTAACACAGCTTGTCAAGCTGAGTACAATCTCTACTCAAGATGAGCTCGATTTCAAATCATTCTTGCAATCTTGCTAAAAATGTGTAAACATCATAATTTAAATGATAAAAAGAACACTAGAAACTAAAATAACATCTAACTTTCATGCACATCTGTATTAACAAGAAAATGATAAAGTTCAGAAGACTAATTAATCCTTCCATAAAGTCTAAACAAGTCAGCTCGCGAGGAGTCAATCTAACTTACAAGCTAATCAAGCTGAGCAATGTCTAGCTCAAGCTAGGCTCGTTTACTAACGAGTCGACTTGTTAAATAACTAGCCGAGCGTCGAACGAGTTTTTTTTATTCAAACGCCGAGTTGCTCGTGAGCGGCTTAGCTCATTTGCAACCTTATTGACAAATACTTAGTGATGACAATTTGATCCCGCCCCGTTGGGCATTACGCGAGCTGACACGTGATGGAGCGGGTTTACCCGACCAGTAGTAGCGTGGGGCAGGGCATGTGTATCTACTTGCGACCTGCTCTGCCCTGCCCTGCCCCGCCTTGTTCTTGGCCCATTCTATTTCAATTTTTTACAATATCTATTCATATTTATCATATTTCGAGTTTTCTTCAACTAGTTAGAGTTAATCCCTTAACTAGTTAGATTCAATCACCAATTCTACAATCCCTATTATTATTTATAAAGTGATTTCCTTCGCTTAATCGTAAATTTTACGTATATTTGCTCAAATAATATATAAAAAATAACATATAAAAATGGGTCGACCTATCCCGCCACACTCGCCGATACTACTCGCCCTAACACACACTTGGTGCGGGGCCTGATATAGGTATTGAGGACCCGCGGCACCACATTGCCATCACTGAAAATACTCAATCCAAAACCACCCATTAAATAAAACCACCCGTTAAATAAAGAACAACATCACAATGTTGTGGCAAACGTAACTGGTAATAGTTACATTCAATTGATCATTGTCTTAGCTAAATGTAGATTTAGCTTGTACAATTGTGCCATATCCACCACTAAACCAAACGCCAAACCCTTTATTAGCTAAATCATGATTAGTTCTTTTCTCTCTCAGTTCATCATCCGCTGAAACTCCTGAAAATCCAGCACGCCGTTCCCGTCCAAATCAAACGGCCGGATCATCGCCGAGCACTCATCCACCGACTTCCGATCACCCAACCGGACCAACATCCTCTGCAACCCACGCGGCGTAATACACCCTTCCCCCTTATCCTCCTCGAACATCTCAAACGCCCGCCGCAGGTCGCCGTCGAGATCCTTGCCGTCGCCGTCGACCATCCGAACGAAGTCCCCGAACTCCAGCATCCCGTCGCCGTCGCCGTCGAACTCCCCAATCACCTTCTCCGCGTCCTCCTTTGACATCGCCTCCCCTGTCGTCGACGCGAAGTACATCCCCAGCTCCTCCCCTGAAATCCGGCCGTCCCCGTCGCTGTCGAAGTGGCGGAACACCCGCAGCAGATCCGCCTCCTTGCTCCGCCCCGCGGCGGAAGGCGAAGAAAGAGGGGAGGCGACGGCGGCGGAATTGGGTTTGGACTTGTTGATGTGGATGGAGCGGAGCAGGGGAAGGCTGAATTTGAATTCTTTGCCCGAAGATGACCTCTTAGTCGGCGAATTGGCTGCGGTGGCGGCGGTGGTTGCCATTCTGAATCGTGAATTGTTTGATTTCTGGTGGTGGGTTTTTGGGGCGACGGAAGTGGGAATTGATTATAATGGAGTGAAGCTCTTAGCTCTGCCGTCGGGAGTCGGGGTCAAAAAGGAAAGTCCGATTTTTTGGCGGGGTGTGAGCGGGGAATTTGTAGTTAGTTCCGCGGCTTATGGAGAGAAACTGCGCTGCAGCTTCGTGGATTTGGTTTCCTTTCCATTTTTGGGGAATTATGATCGATGGGAATGGAAATACAAATTAGCTACGGGACGAGCGGCAGAATATGGGCTAACCCACCCATCAATAATCAAATCTGGACCCTCCATTTAGAAAATCCAGATCTAAGGATGGAGAATTAAATGTCATTTTTATTTTCACTAGCTTTCTTAATTGACTCATATCTTTTTTGTTTTAACTCGGATTTTAATTTTTTTTTTTGCACAGATGGAACGAGTTTATCGTGCTCTACAAAATGAGATCAATTTTCAATATTTTTTGAGGAAAAAAATTCTGGCCTCTCGGTACCAACTGCATACCATATGGTATCTTCTTCGTTTTTCATTCGTTTTTGAAAACGTTTGCACAGCAGGGACGAGTTCATCATGATCTATTGGATCTACAAATTTCTAGTTGAACAAATTACAAGACAAAAAAATACCACACAATACCATACAATACCACCCTGGTACGGGGTGGTATTTTATGGTATCTTATGGTATACAATGTTAAAAGTCGTAAATGACAATTAATATACTTCTACTATCATGTATTCAATCATCCTACAGTCTTGGTTTGTTCATACCACCATGGTACGCTTTTCAAATCATACAATACCACCCTGGTACGGGGTGGTATTTTATGGTATCTTATGGTATACAATGTTAAAAGTCGTAAATGACAATTAATATACTTCTACTATCATGTATTCAATCATCCTACAGTCTTGGTTTGTTCATACCACCATGGTACGCTTTTCAAATCATACAATACCACCCTGGTACGGGGTGGTATTTTATGGTATCTTATGGTATACAATGTTAAAAGTCGTAAATGACAATTAATATACTTCTACTATCATGTATTCAATCATCCTACAGTCTTGGTTTGTTCATACCACCATGATACGCTTTTCAAACCATAGGTATGCTCTTATTTCAATACCAGTCAATACCATATGGTATAGACTGGTAAAAAATGGCTCAATTTTTTTTGCTCGAAAAATATATTAAAGTGGATATCATTTTGAAGAGCACAATTAATCTGATCTAACTGTGCAAACAAAATTAAATTTCGACTTAAAACGAGTGAGAAATCGTTCGTCAAAGATTAAAGAGGAGAAAATTAAAGGCTTTCCAGGAGAGAGAGGATGCTGATGTCATGCTGATGTGGGCGGGTTACTCATAGTTACTCACCATAAGGTTACTCACCTGATCCATTCCCCCGAATATGTGATATAGGGTTTGGTTTTGAACTGCAACATTTGGCAATTGTCACTGTGACAGTGGGGATGGACGGAAAGAACAGAGACGACCAGAGCTTTCACGAAACTTCAACGAAGCTTCTTCTCTTGAAATGGACTATATTTATGTCCAAAGTTCATAGGGTTACAATCCATCCATCCATTTTGTTATTCGGCCCACTCTTAACGGTCTGGTCCGGAACCAGACCAAAATCAAGAGAACTGTGGTTCACTAGTGAAAAACATTTTAGATCAAGAATTGAGCTAACAATACTTTTTATACAATTTGGTACGGTCCAAATGTCAGTTCGGTTCATTTTGTTTTAGTATTTATAATATTCACGGAACCAATGAGCGAACTACATTATATTCGGTTCGATATGGTTCGGTCAAAGTGTCAGTTTGGTCCGGTGCGATCTGATATGGACCCTGCCATTGCACACCCCTAATATCAATGAATGTAGTCATGACTCACGACTGAATCTTAATGATGTTGCATCTTAACGATCAAAATTGTGGAGACGCTTGATCCAACTACATCAACGTGTGCTAACATCTGTCTGATTATTATGAACCAATGCCATATATGATTCTTCAAAATTGTCATAGGGACTAGTTAGGTACATATATATGGAGAATTGATATGCTTGTCATCAACTTGTATATTATCGAAAATCATGTCCACCCAACAACTATGATTTTCAAGTTTGATTTTTACCATACCTACTAAAAATTCTTCGAATTCAAATGTTAACGGATTAGATTGGATTCGAAACTACTATACACAAATATGATCATATTTGTCATCCTATTCCTATCATAGCAACCCTGAAACTCAACGGAGTCCAAACTTATGCAAGGCTCCACTACCGAGTGCCTTCACATAATCATAATCGTCTTCGTCTCTGTGAAGTGTGAACATTGGGCCAGAATCTTTGTCCGGGCCTATTTGATGCTAAAGCAGGCTTTCCCAGACCACTGGCCCAATATCGACTAGCCGCGTGCCATTGAGCTCGGTTTCACGAAAGCCGTTAAATCCCGGCGTCGCCTTCTTGTTCTGGTCATTCCGAACTTCCTAAGAGCAGCTGAAATAAACACGGGGAAGCAGAAGAGAGCTCAGAACTGAACGGAGCTTTTTACCGGTAGCTCTTCGAGAAGGATGCCGTCTCAGCTACTAACAGCAACATTCGATAAGCTCCGGCGATAGGATGGTCTCGCTCCGGTCGCAGTCTCAATCATTCTTCAATGCTCAGGTACTCTACCATCCGTTCACCTCCTACCGCGCCTTCATTTTTCCTCTCTCGCCTCCGCCGCCGGCGCTCAATCCACTGGAAGCCCCGCCACGAATCCAAGCTCTCCCACCCTGAACTTGTCGACCGAATCTCCCGCCTCCTCGTCCTCGACCGCCGCGCCGCCCTCGACGGCCTCAAATTCGACTTCTCCGGCGACCTCCTCGACTCTGTTCTCCTGAAGCTCAGGCTCAATGCCGGCGCCTGCTTGAGATTCTTCAAATCGGCCGCGACGCAGCCTAATTTCAGACCCGACGTCAAGTCCTATTGCAAGCTGGTTCACATCCTGTCGCGTGCGCGTATGTACGACGAGACCAGATCGTATTTGACAGAATTGGTTGGGTTGTGCGATAATAATTATTCTTCTAGGCTCGTGTGGGATGAGCTATTTGCGTTCTATCGGGAGTTCGGATTCTCGCCTACTGTGTTCGATATGATACTTAAGGTGTATGCGGAGAAAGGAAAGGTGGAGCATGCACTCCAGGTGTTTGATAATATGCTCAAGTACGGTAGAGTGCCGAGCTTGAGGTCGTGTAACAGCTTATTGAGTAATCTTGTTAGGAAAGGACAGAGTTACTCTGCTGTGCTTGTCTATGATCAAATGACGAGGCGGGAGATTGTCCCGGATGTCTTCACTTGCTCGATTATGGTGAATGCGTATTGCAAGCAGGGGAGGCTGGACAGAGCCGTGGAGTTTGTTAAAGAGATGGAGCATTCAGGTTTTGAGGTGAATGTAGTGGCGTACAATAGCTTGATTGATGGGTATGTTAGTGCCGGAGATATGGAAGGAGCCAATGGGGTATTGGAGATCATGAAAGAGAAGGGTGTTTTAAGAAATGAGGTTACATTTACTTTGTTAATTAAGGGCTATTGTCGAAAATGTAAATTCAAGGAAGCTGAGGAGGTGTTGGGACAGATGAAACAAGAGGGAGTGCCCTTGGATGAGTATGCCTATGGTGTGTTGATTGATGGATATTGTCAAGTTGGTAAACTAGCAGACGCTGCTCGGGTTCGAGATGAAATGTTGGAGGTAGGGTTGAAGACAAATTTATTTGTTTGCAACTCATTTATAAATGGGTACTGCAAAAATGGTCAGTTTCGTGAGGCAGAGAGATTGTTAATACAACTGAGAGACTGGAAACTAAAGCCGGATTCCTATAGTTATTGCACTCTTGTTGATGGATATTGTAGAGAAGGCCTTACCGGCAAAGCTTTCAGCGTTTGTGAACAGATGATTCAGGATGGCATTGAACCAAATGTTGTAACTTACAACACTCTTCTGAAAGGCCTATCCCGTGTGGGTAACCTTGAAGATGCTTTGCGATTTTGGCATTTGATGCTAAAGAGGCGCGTGGATCCCAACGAGATCAGCTATTGTACTTTGCTTGATGGGCTTTTCAAAATGGGAGACTCTCTTAGGGCTTTAACCCTGTGGAATGATATCCTGGCTAGGGGGTTTACCAAAAGCGCATATCCTTTTAATATAATGATCAATGGGTTATGCAAGGTAGGCAAAATAGTTGAAGCTGAGCAGATCTTTGCCAGAATGGTGGAATTGGGTTATAAGCCTGATGGCATAACATTCAGAACCCTGAGCGATGGGTATTGTAAAGCTGGAAATGTTGAAGAAGCTCTCAACGTCAAAGAGAAGATGGAAAAGGATGCAATTTCTCCTTCAATTGAAATGTATAACTCTCTCATCACAGCACTTTTCAAGTGCAGGAAAATGAATAAGCTTGTGGATCTCCTCAGCGAAATGAATAAACAGGAGTTAGCACCAAATATAATTACCTATGGAGCTATAATATCTGGCTGGTGTGATGAAGGAAGGCTGGATAAAGCTTTCAGTGCATATTTTGAGATGATAGCAAGGAAATTAGCTCCAAATTTGATTATATGTGGCAAAATTATCAGCAGCCTCTACAGTGTTGGCAGGATAGAAGAAGCAAATATGCTGTTGCAGAAGATTTTCGATTTCAGTGTTTTAGACCTGAAATTATTTGAAACGCCTCAACAGAATGATTCTAGACATTTAGATTGTGAGAAGATCGCCGATACCATTGATCAAAATGGTACGAGTTTCTCTCTACCCAACAATGTGCTATACAATATTGCTATTGCTGGGCTTTGTAAGTCTGCTAACATTGATGACGCAAGAAGATTTTTCTCCAGTTTGTTGCATAGAGGTTTCGTTCCAGATAACTTCACTTACTGCACTCTGATTCATGGCTGTTCTGCTGCTGGTAATGTGGATGAAGCCTTCAGATTGCGTGATGAAATGGTAAACTATGGTATAGTACCAAACATAACCACATACAATGCCTTGATGAATGGCTTATGTAAATCTGGAAATATGAGTCGAGCACAAAGGCTTTTTGATAAACTTCTTGCCAAAGGGCTGGCTCCAAATGTTGTATCTTACAATATTTTGATATATGGGTACTGTAGATGTGGGGAGACTGATGTTGCCTTGGATTTGAAAGAAAGAATGTTAAACGACGGAATTTATCCTTCCACCATTACATACTCTGCTCTGATTAATGGTTTCTGTAAGCAAGGAGACATTGGAAACTCTGTGAAGCTATTGGATGAGATGACTGGGAGATTTGCTGATCTCAACCTAGCCCCATTCCACAAATTAGTTGAAGATTGCATTAAGCATAGAGAAATAAAGAACATCTCTAGGATTAATGACATAGCACATGCCTATTCATGTGCTGGTGTTAGTCCTTACAAGCATATGAAGTTATTGGGGATCTCCGTTGCTGAATACACACTGAAGGAAAACTCTTTGTATGGACTTGAAGCTGTATGTTAATGGATGCTTGCTTGTCTTATGAATTGTCAAAAGGGTTGATTTCGACAGGTTTACTTTGTATCAAACTGTCCTCTTCAAAGGCTGTCATAATTACAGATCGATAGAAGGCTGTTGAAGTACTCCTGTGAACTTTATGCCTGTAAGGGGGGCTGTGGTGAGGCATGAGAAAATCCACTGGTTCTTCTGTAAGGGGGCATGTATTGAACATGAAGAGATCAGCTGGTTTCTTCTTGCTGGACATTTATAGCTCTGGCCAGTGTTTCTCCATCGAGAATCGGATTCCAACAAGGGCTTACCAACTGAAATCAGGTAATTGGAAATCAATGACTGCAGCAGTTGAAAATAGGTTCAGGTAAATACTGAATTAAGTCAGATGCACCTTGCAAAAGCTAGTCTCATAACTACTACTCTCCTGGTCATTTTTGCTTTGTTGAAGGCCTTTGTGAGGTGCTTTCGTTTGATGTGGAATTGACATCTAATTGCAATCTAACTTCTAACGTATCAAATTCTGCCACAGGTATATTCTACTGTGGTATCTGCTACTATGACGAGTCAGTTCATGGATTCTCACACAGGCATATCGACTCTTAAGGTATGCTCTTAGATGTTGAACAGAATCATGTTCTGTCGTACCAGCCTTGTTAACCTGGTGAGTTGAATTCAAATTCTGATTTGTTGGTGTAGCACTCTCTTTGTCGAGGAAATAAACAATACACCAAAGTAATATGCTTGTAAGGGCCGAGGGACTAGACTTTCTGTGTTTTCATTTTGAGTGCCCTTCTTCAAGATCTCTGGTTGCCTTTTTCCTTCCTTCGATCGGAACTTGAAGTCAGTCATACTAGACGTGAATAGTAATGCTAAAATGTTAATTTCGGTAATTAGCTGAGCAAAATTTATTATGCGCTGAAAGAAAGGTCAAAGCAGTCCGTTAACATTAATGTGATGTACTAATCATCAGACCAACTGCTTAGTAATACATTGTTTCTCTTGATTTGTTTGGTATCACAGGTACTTGCTCGGTGTGACTAGAACCTAACTGGAGCATATCACAATAAAATCATACTATCATAGTTGTGCCAAGCTTCGGGTGTCCGTCCACTTCATAGGCCTATATGCTGCTGGATCCAACATGGTGTGTCACGGTCATCAAATTTTAGCCTGTAGTGCTTTGTCTTGTGACAGACGCTACAAGGTGGTAATGTTTGGACACTAAGATGGTGGATCTCATTTGGCACAGCAGCAAGGTAAATGCTTCAATAAATGCTGGCATTAGGAAGTAGCTGTTGAAAATGAAACTATTGAAGAATAATCTAAGAAACACAATAAGGCTCGTTGCTAATGAAATTTTCAGAGATTTTAGATTTCGTTCAACTCTTTTCTATTGTTTGCTCGTGAGAGGCTAAACGACTGCTTTGGCTACTTTAGCTGTTTGCTAAGGCGGGACTTCTTAGTAACGTACGAACTTTGATTTGCTTTTATCACCTTGATGGAATCTCCCTTTCTTTTATCTGCACTGGTCATTTTCCTTAGATTTTTTATTTTTATAAAGACATACCTAGTTTGCCGACACATGTATTTTTGTTGTGCCCAAGATACTAAGCACATGTCTGTTCAAAGAAACGAACCATAACTAAGCACATGGCCGTCAGGTGGGCGGTATAATCAGGCGTCATTTAGGGCATTAATCAAGCATTTATGAAAAGAGTTTGCCGTGAATAATAGTTAGATTTCACGATCTACATTACATGAGAAACAGAGTGATAACAGTAGTTTTGTCTCTTCCCATCAGGGCCATTAGATCATCCAAATCTTCTACAGATGTGGACTAGTGATTAGAGAAAAGCAGAATACTATCTGAGTGGGATTATGACACATGGTTACTTTCACTGAGCTCTAGTGTATTTTGATTGTCAAATTGCTAACTTTAGTATGGCTCGCTTTATGTATCTAGAAGAAGAAAGTATCTAGCAAGAACTATTTTGAAACCTATAATGATGCCGGCGGCTAATGGGGTGTTTACTTTTCCAGGGTGTCAAAGGCTGGTTGGCCATGGGAAGCTGCGGTGGCAAGTTGACCACTCTCCTAAAAAAGTACAGAGAGCTGAAAGAGGCAAGTTTTCAACCCAAGCTTCTTCACTTTCAAACCATTATACTTTGCATACATTCCAAGTATTGACAGCTAGATTGAAGGAAACGTCAGAGTGATCAAACAAGACTTGTGTATTTCTTACTAATAAATAAAAACATATAATATTGCAAGAGTGATAATGCATCTCAGTTAGCATGCTGATGGGCTTAGGTCTCGGCACTTGCTGACTCCATTGGAGTCGCGCACCCTGGGATCCTCAGCCGCGCATCAAATGGTTGTGGATCGAAGGACGTACGATCAAACAGCATCAGCACTACGCCCATCAGCATCTTAGCAAATTTCGTGATCATGGCCGGAAAGGGCCACAGGGAACTGAACATGTTTGCTTAATTTTGAAAAGAATGACAATCAACTCTGAAAACTGCTTTCGGATAGCTACGGCGCATCTGAAGTTGAAAGCTCAATCTGGGGGAGAACCCCAATCATAATTTACTCTTTTTCTAACTGTAGTTGGTGGCAGAAAGGCATCCCTCATCTAATGAAACTAACTTCAGGTTTTCCTTGCAATTGCAGGCAGCCTTCCTTCATCCCCCCACTTGGAGAAAGGTTAAAAAGGATGGCCGAGTTTCTCCCTGTAACTGCCCTTTCAAGTCATGTTCCTGCAACCTAACAATCCGTCCATTGCATAAGGTACGATTCCAACTTTGTTAGAGACGGGAGCACATATCCTAGGAAGTTTAACTGTCGAACATGGTTGAAAGGTTCATAACATCATTTTGCCATCACATTAGCGTCATCTAGTGGACAAAGAAGTTAGTGGGGGTTATATAGGGCGGACAAGATGATAATATAGTGCTGGTTGCTAGTTGCTGGATTGTGGATAATAATATAAAGTAGATGTGTTGGTAAATTGCTAGAGGATAGCAAATGCACGTATTGCAAATTTGCAATTACATCCTGGAATCAAGCAACGTAAAGCAATTGTGAATTCCTCTCTCAACTCCCGGCTAACTTTTTTCTTTCAATTTCCATTAGATTTGTTAAGATGTTGTCTTACTTGCCTGAACCGAACCTTAATCCACCCAACTCCATACCTTCGATATCGAAAACTATCGCGTTTTGGCTAGGCTGGATTAGCGTGCTCGAACCCAATCGCCTTGTAATATGAATTGACTAGAAAATCATAGGAGAGGTCAGTCGATGTGTTTGAAATGCACCACACCACGAAAGTAAGTGGTGTGCATGAATGACACTGCAGGTCGCATCGTGTTTGCGGTGCTGTGTAATGCGGTTGAACCATGCCGAGTTTCCACTCTAACATCATAATTCATACTTGCACTCTTTTTTTTTTTTTTTTCCAACTCGATTCAGCGATTTGGATAGGCTGGCCTATCTAAAAGTCGTGATTCAGTTAACACGTTCTTTTGATACTCCTGCTATTCATTGACAGTAATTTCATAGATTCCTACTAGGTGAAGATAATTATTGTGATTGTCATTGTGCAATTGGGGAGCATAATAGAGCCTTTCGTTTTTCTGGTTCACTGCTTGATTTGGGACAATTTGGTTGTTTTTAAAGAACAGGGAAAAACAATAGGGTCCACACCCTACGACTTTTTTCCCGTCGGTAGTATTGAAAATGTAGGACTGGTCCGGCCGGTTAGTATAGAGGTCGAAACCACGCAGCCTGTCGTTAATTCAGCCACGTTCCTCGCCTGTTGTTGGGTATTTTGGGTTCATTGCTTTGCACTTTCTTTGTCCAGCTTCTCTACCGACACCCCTGTTTTTTTTTAAAATAAAAATAAAAATAAAAATCTCCCACTCCTCCCTCTAACAAGTAGATTAGACAAACCGGTTTTTCAAGCTCCGAATAAACTTTTTGATAATGGGAAACTCCATTGGGGAAAAGTGACCCATGGCCACATAGAATAGAAGCCATGGAAAAGGCTTTACCCAAAATGGCTTTTGACTTATTGGAAAAGTTCTGGTTGGGGTTTAATTTCCTGCGTAAATATGTTAAAAACTCGAGTTGTTGAGGGAGATCTATTTATGGTACTTAACCACTGTTTTACATATTTTCTAAAAAAAGCTAACTCATGGGTTTGAAGTTTGCACAAGCCCGCCATACTATGTGTTTGAAGACAGCAATAAATATTGGGGCTTGTGAGGATTTGAACACGTGACCTCAAGGACAAACCAACTCTGATATTATGTCATAAACGAACTGGTCCCAATAACTCGAGTTGTTGGGAAAGGTATTTGTATAGTACTTAACCACTTCCTTACAGATCCCTCAACGCAAAAAAGAAATTTATTCTCATTGCATCTACGACTATAATTTGTCCAATAGAATGAACCGGCAAATACAAATACAGATTATATATAAAAAAAAATATGCTACTAATGAACCCAATACAATACAATAGAATAGCTTAAATTTGGCCATTTCGTCTTGGATTTTGCCATCCATCTAAATCGTGGAGACAAAAATCAGATGTCGCTGTCTGATTTTTTTTTCTTGCTAATTTACGTGTTGTTTATCAGAGAAGTAGCCCGGCTATTGGAATCTATCGGAAGAAAACTGATTGATGAAGAAAGGAAGGCGTTTTTTTGCAAACCAAATTGCTTGTATGATCAGCCATTCTCCTTCTCCTTGGTGGCTTTGACTCTCTTATTCACGTTTCACGATCCACATTGTCAATTGTAATAATCTTGCTGAGCTTTCTTCGAATACCATCTTTTCAAGGGCAAACATGATTCTTTAGCAAATGATGTAATAATGCATGTGTTAATCCTCCATGTCACACATCAATGTGTGTGTGTTAATTAAATTAGCAAGGCAATTGCTTCAAGCAAAACTGATGGAGATTGCTTTGATATGTTTTTTTTTCCCTCAGTGAAAATAGTTAACTATCGTGCTACAACAACGTTGTATTGAATGTCAATTTTGTCACTATATCATTGGACTATGTTTCATTTGGTGAATCATGAGTCATAAGTGATAATTTAACGTAAGTGCATCAAAGAAAGAATCTCATGTAACTATGTTTGTAACGAGTTTTTTTTTGTTAGTTGGATTTGTGTCGTAACTTACCTCACCTTGTCTTTTTTTTTTTATAAAAGATAATCATATATTGATCAGAAAAAGGCAGTTACATCCTGGAATTGAGCCAGGCCACAAAATCAAATAAACGACTTGCAGACGGGTACAAAAGAAGGGTCTTTCGAGTCACCAAGTGGGCTACCCTATTAAAATGCCGACCTACAAACCGAACACTAAACCCTTGCTGGTTAGATAAACAATGCATAACTTCCTCGAGCAGAGCGCCAATCCGGCTATCACGGACCTCAGAGCTGGAAAGCTTCTCAACGATCACCTGAGCATCCCCTTCAAATCGTACCTCCGTCAACCCCGTCTCAGTACACCAATGAATAGCATCGCAGAGCCAGAGCATCTCAACAACCAAAGGGTCATCAAACAAAAAATAACAAGAAGAGGTCTTTCAGCATCCATCCTCTTTAACATAACAAGAAGGAATCATTTAACACTAATTAATCATAGTTAGAGGGTCCAAATCACCAATAAAATCAAAACCTTCTTCCTTCCTGTCCCATCTTCCGTAGCCGTCTCAAACAAACCTCTCATTCATCACCAAAATTGGAACATAATGAACCAACCAACCTACCTGGTTCTAAAGAGTAGTCCAGCCTAGCTTGCCTAGGATACCCATCATCATTATTCAATTTCTACTTAAGCAATCACAACCCCCCATAATTATACTTAACCAAGTAATCAGCCAATAATCAGATCGCAACAACCTAATTAACTTAATCCACCACCATCTTAAAACCCAGTAACTAATTCATCCAGTAAAGTAAAACACACCCACAATATGCTCTTTTAGCTATACAGTCTGTCTCTGTCATCCTTAACATGGGTAAAACAGTCAAAAAAGAAGTAAAAAGTTTATTTTTTTCCCCCACTTCACAAAATCAAAATTCACAGAGAGAAGTTGACATGTGTATAGACTATAGACTATAGACAAACAGTAAAAAAAAATATTAACTCTGTAGAACCTTCCTTCTTCCTTCCATCTACATCTTTCCTTCTTCCTCTACACGATTCTGAATTCCAAACCGCCGGAATTTCATCCCGAGATCTCTGGCCGCCAGCCCGCCGGCCTACAACTCCGTCAATCCCGCTTTGGATTCAGTTCAATCTGTAGCCGCCATTGATGGGTATCTTTCCCCGCCAATATTCTCCGTCACGAATCCAGAGCGAACGGCGTCTGCAACAGATCGTACGGAGCCCAGAGCGCGTCGAGCGGGCACGGCCGATTGGCGTCGAGCCGAACCCACGGCTTCCCTTTCCCGCTCCAATGCAGCAAGCTCACCGGCCCGGGATGCAAGTCCCTGCACAATCCCCTGAAATTGTCCCCTCCCAGGCCGTGCTGATTCCACCGGTGGTTCACCGGAACAATCTCTCCGGCGAAGACGAGCAGGAACGGCGGCAGAGAACCCAATTCGTAGATCCTAACCCGCTTCTGCAGCTCCATCCACTCCTCGATTTTGCGCGTATAACCCCCTTCCCTCCACCGACCCAGATCTATCACCATAACCCCTGTATTGAAATAACACGCCCTCCTGTCTGCAAACGTCAGGGACAGAGAAGGGTTTGACCAAAAGCTAGGGGTGAAATAGGCAGTGAAATTGGCGCTGCAGTACTCCGGCGCCGCCACCACTGCGCGGTCCCCGAGGTCGGTGCGCGCCAGCCTGGCAATGTCGTCGACGAGGACGAGGTCGGAGTCGAGGTAGACAATCCGGCTGACGCAGGGCGGGAGGATGTCGGCGAGGTAGCTGCGGGCGTAGTTGAGGGGGCAGTCGAGCGCGGAGCGGATGGAGGCGGAGATCAGCCCCGCGACGGTGGAGTCGTCGAAGGAGTAGACCCGGAAGTTCAGGTAAGGAAAGGATGAGGAGATGGTGGCGCGTAGGAACGACGCGTCGGCGGATTGTGAGGAGACGAAGTGGAAGGCGATGTTCTGCGGGCAGGAGGAGTGCTGGAGGACGGAGAAGATCGCGGCCATGGAGCCGCGGAGGTAGGCTGTGTCGAGGGTCATCGCCACGTGGACGGCTCGATTCGAGCAGAGTGTCGCGCCGCCGCCGCCGTCGTCCCAGTCGATGGCAGGGCATTCAGGGGAGTTGTAAAATTGAGGGGCTTCTTTGAATTGGTGGGCGGAAGGGAGCGAGAGAGGAGCTCCGGCGGCGGCATTGGAGGTGAAGAGGAGGATGAGGAAGAAGGGGAGGTGAGGAATTGGGAATCCAGGCATGGGAAGGATTCGTGAGAAGGAGAGGAGGAAGTGTTCCAATTGGGAAAGGAGAGTAGTGGAAGAAGGAGACGAGAAGAGAAGCAAAGTAAAAGGAAGGAATTCTTTTTTGAGAGGGGAACTTAGGATCTTGAGCTTATATGGCCCTTTTTTTTTAATTTGATTTGATTGCTTCCTGGCTGGCTGGCTTAATAGTTAATAGTATGTGAACTTAGAAGTGTTGAATAAGCCATTTGGTGCTTATAATTTGGATTTGAAAGAAATGAAATGAGGCATTTGATGCTTTTTTATAGAAAATGTCGTGGTGGGAATTAGAATCGAGACGAAATCGAAAGAAAACTATCAAAGAAGGAAATAGATGTGAGGATTAGAATCGGGTCAGTTGAAAAGAGTGTTAATGTGTATTTGGCCTGATTCAATGTTAACTGGGTTTTATTTACATGTTTGTTTAGAAAATTTTATTTTTAACAAAATTCATTAAACACCATGGTTCGTTAGAGCAATGGTTACCTTACAAATGATAATACCGTAGCAACTACAAATAAATTGACTCAAGTATACCAATCACTCAATGAGAACTAAAGATGACGCCAAGACCAATATCAACACTCCATGATCCCAAATACTCCACTTTGGATCGAATCTCGGTTACCATATGGATCGAGATAAAAAAGGATCGATTTCATCACATCTTTTACATCTTTCCTTCCATAAAAAAAAACTCAGCATTGTATTCCAAATAAGCCTCCCAATACAAGTGCTACGATTGTTGCTTCTCCGAAAGGAAATCACCCAAATTGAGTAACGTTCCAATCGTCATAGGGAGGGATGGGGAAAAGCCGAAAATGCAGGGAGACAACACTTCAACACAAAAATTTCTGTAACCTAAAATCAAGATCGGATCTCATTGCATAGTAATATGGTATGTTTCAAAATAGAGATAGTATGAAATTAGAAATTGAATTAGAATCGAATGGGAGATATACCAATTTTGACGATTGGAATACTGAACCGAACATTGTTTGGTGTATTTTGATTCAGTCATATAGATACTGGTTTGATCATATTCGATATGGAGTGGACCGGATTGCTGGTGTTAGTATTGAAACAAAAAAGGCCAAATGGGGAAAGAAGAGGGGGTGGCTAGCTAGCAGGCTGGGATGAAATGAAATGAAAGGGAGTTGGTTTGCACCTTTTACATTTGGTTGTAGACCGGAAGCTTGTCGCCTCCCTCCCGCCCTAAGAAATGGGTCCCAAACGACTACAAATAGTGTTTTCTTCTTCTTTTTTTGTGAATTTTTAAATTATTAACAAAATTAAGTTAGGGTTGATGATGCTGATACCCAGTTTTGTTAATTAAGTTTCCAAATGCATTTCCATTTTCTTAAATGTTAATTAAGGAGTGGAAGAAGTTAACCTCTACCACATATCAAGAGAGTGAAAAGGGAGAGGATGGATGTTCACTTTCATTACCTACCAATCAGGCAAAGATTTATTTTTTACTCAAATAAGAAACTTCACCACCTTCCCCTCCATTTTACTAGCTTCCCATTTTTACCAAATCCTAAATACAATGTTTGATAGTTTTGAATTTGGCTATCTTGCTTAACCGTGCTTACACCTTCATAGTTATCTTCTCTGTTATCAGACAATGGGATTTTTCCAATAATAGCACGTTTAAAAAAAAAAATTTACAAAACTAGCATCCATCCGAAAAAATTGACAGAAATAGCACCAATTTTAATGGAACGCACCCCTAAGGTGCGTTTTATAAGTAAACCGCACCCCACAGGTGCGTTTTACTTATAAATCGCACCTTAGGGGTGCGTTCCAAGCCACGTCAGAACAGGAAACGCACTAGGAAGGTGCGGTTTACATATTCTGCGGAACGATCTTCAAGACCGTTGGATGGAGGAACGATCGGAGGGCGGACCGCGCGCCAGCGGAGCGATCCGCGCCACGGATCGGGAACCGCAGCGCCGAGGAGCGGTCAAACCTGGGGAAGACCAAACCGCCTCGGCAAGGCGCTGTTTAGGGTTGGGAAAAATTACAAGACCGCCCCTGGAGGGTGCGGTCTGTTGGGTATAAATACCCCCTTCCCCTCTCATTTCTTCACACCACAACCCATTCTTCCTTCTCTATCTAGAATTTTTCTCTCTAAACCCTCCCCTCCCAAAAGCCTAGGAAATAGTGGTCTGTTGGTTGCGGCTAAGTCCGATCAGAAAACATTTCTTAGGTTTTTTCCTCAAAACCCACCGAGCCGAGCCGAATCTTTGTCCGAATTTCCCGAAAGAATGGCCGATTGATGGCAAGGAGAGAGAGTTTATGTTGATGAATTTCAAGCGGTACGTACTCATTATTCTGGTTTAATTTTTGTTGTTGTTATAAGCTTTTTAATTAATCTATGTACTAACCTCGTTGTTATTTTCTCGTAGGTTGGGGAGGATGTGGATATATACAACCAACGGTATTATCTCGAGCAAGGACCGTTGGATCCAACCGACTTGTACGACCAACCCAACCATCGGTCAAGGGATGTTCGGAACGATCACCCGGTACATACAATTCTTCACCATTTGTCCTTCTTTTATTTTGTTAATGTATTTAGTGGAATATAAAATAAATTTATGTTAATTTTTTAATCGTGTTGGTTGTTTTCAATAATTTAATCGAATACATAGCACCACTTACTTCGACTCTTTATAAAGATATGCACGTCTAAGGAAATGGGGTTTTAAGCGATTATCATATCCTCCCATTCCCTGGGAAAATCGGGTATTAAGAGATCCTCGAATCCCCCCTTTTTCTGTCAAAAAGACTGTGTTTCTAAGAAGATGTATACCTCTTCTAAGAGTCTAACGAGTGTTGCTCTGTATTCGATTAAATTATTTAAAACAACCAATACGATTAAATTATTTACCAAACAACCAATACGATTTATTTTTATGTGTACAAAATGAATTTTATTAATTTCAAACATTTGAATAGCCGTAGCAACCACCCTGGATTTCAACTGTCGATGGCCTTGGGAAGTTATGGATGACACACATGTGTGTGTGTTCACCGCACGGGATATGACCTAGTGGCCGTGTCTCTTGCTGTTGATGGCCCGAATCCTAACATTGCACCCCTCGTGATGATTACGGCATCTGACTATGAGCCTTTTAGTGTTGGAATAAGTTGTGTGCCATTCAAAATGCCGAGTCATTGCTTCAGTCTCAATGGCGTGCCGCACCTCTTTCTTCGAGCCAAATTGTTGGCCCTTCATAAACCCAGTGAGTGGACCCCATATTGGGACCTCTGGCGGCTCCATGTCGCTGTCGACCATCCAATTGTCGTCTGGAATGTGATTGTAGTAGGGGAATGGTACACGGTCACGAGCCACCTCATCATCATTAGCTGAGTCTGACTCTGGTCCTGAATCATCAGCACCTTCAAGAGGGTCGGAGCTGTCTGCACTGACGTTGTTCTCTCCTTCTTCATCGGAGGGGTCACTGACTGTTGCTGGCAGGGCATCCTCCATCTGATCCAGCTCATGAAAGGCACCTTCATCAGCTCCATAATGGTATTTGTGAAAACTATCGCTGCCTGATTGGAAGTTGTACTGAGGTTGGTTGGGGAGGTCCGGTTGAACTTCTTCTTCATATGACGGGAAAGATTGATGATGACCTTCACCTTGCTCTTGGTACTGAAAATAGGAATGAGGATCATGGTAACTTTGGTAGGGATGATCGCCTTATAATTCACCTCCACCATGGATACCAGATGTTTGACCGTGTCCAGAATGACTTCCAACGCCTACGACCGGCTCGGTGTAAACGAACATCTCGGCTTTGGAAAGATTGTTGGACCTCAAGAATTCGAGCATGGCATCTACCTCATCCTGAGTGGTTATGAGATATTCCTCATGCCACAATGACCCACTGTCTCTGTTTGGATATCGGTACACCATATGATCAACTCTTCTCGTGTCATCCATGCAAGTAACGTTAGTGCACATTTGAAGGAGGTCTTCAAGCAGCGGTCTGGTAGCGACCTTTATCTTCTGAAAATTACCACCGACGTAGGTGACCCCCTTTCCTGTCTCTTTTGTGTAACCATTCCACCGTAAGCCAAGCGTGAACTTTTAGAATTCCATCTGCGAAAAAACCGTAGTTCAGTTAATATCATAAAAATAAAAAATAAAAAATAACAATAAAAAGTAATACAAAATAAACTTACGAGTTAACATTAATCGCAAAACTACTAAAGAAATATAGAGCTATAACAGAAAATTGAAAAGGGAGAAGGAGAGGTGTGAAGAGAAGTGGTTTTCCGGGAAGCCTTTTATAGGCAAAATCACTGATGAAAACCGCACCTTAGAGGTGCGGTTTTCGACTGTCATGCAGACCCACGTTTGTTATTCTGCATGGCATGTCGGAAATTAATTGACCAAAACCGCACCCCCAAGGTGCGGTTTGTGTGGCAAAACCGCATCATGGAGATGCGGTTTCGTTTGGGAGAAACAAACCGCACCTTCATGGTGCGATTTTGATAGGTCAGGCCAAAACCGCACCTCGGCCAAGCGGTTTCTGTAGGTCAGACCTAAAACCGCTTGGCCAAGATGCGGTTTTGGTCCAGGATTATAAAACGCACCTCTAAGGTGCGGTCCATAAAAAAGGGTGCTATTAGTGTAAATTTTTTCGGCTGGGTGCTATTTTTGTAATTTTTTTGTAAAAGGTGCTATTTCTGGAAAAATCCCTCAGACAATTGTGATTGTCACAAAGTGTGAGAAAAATTGAGTATTCACATGTAAAATTTGAATTAATGAGTAGTTTATCACATCAAGGTGTGACGGCTCATGTTCTAAAAGGTTTATAAAATACATTCATTGTTTATTTGGAGACTCAAATCTTTTTCAATGTATACAACTAAAAATTCATTTATAAATTCATTCTTGATTAACTTAATAGCTAAAAAGTCTTTTTTACAGCTTGCAATGATAACAAACAACATCAACAATA